TCCGTACCAAGCACAGTATTACCCAAAGCCAGTTTTACCCCACAGACGACCCCCTTCTTACTTTTTTTTGGTTTTAGTTTTGGGGACGACGTCCACCAGGAAAGAAATAGGAACGTAAACAAAGGTCAACAGGAAGTGACACGCTGAGGGGGAGGAGCTGTGGAGGCTTCACCACCGGGGGCCTGGTCACTACCTGGAGCTTAAACATTTCTTTATTTTATTTTTTCTGAAAAGAGGGAAGATTGTCTGTGTTCAGACTGAACTGTTTGTATATTCAACATTTGAAGTATATTCTATTTTGTTGTACTCTTGTTTCAAAGTGTATTAAAGTAGATTTTACTGAAACATGAAAAGGGTGAAATCTGGGTTTTCTTCCTGCTAAAATCCAGTATTTTTATGAATTCAATTTTTTATTTTTTTAACAAAACAAATAAAAACTGATGCAATACAGTTATTTTCAAGCCAAAAAGATGCTCAGATAAACACATTTTCCCCTGCTTCACACTACATTACCCATAATGCATTGTGACCATCAGCATAACAAACCAGCAGCCGGCTGTAAAACCGCAAACAAAAAAAACGACTCCGGCTCCTAGAAAGTCTCTGAATAATCGTCTTACGTCTCAACGGAGCGAGACCTCTTATTTTACAGTCTTTTTTGGGGGGCGGGGCTAAAAACAAAACGCGGTCTGACCTCCTGATGACGTTTTCGGGGCCGCTGACTGTCCGCGGCGTGGTCCGGGACTCTGGACCCGTTTTTTCCGTCTCGCCCTCTGGCGGCGTCCCGCCTTCGGCCCCCCGGGGGGGGCGTGTCCTACCGTTAGCGGCGGCGGCGGTTTCCCCGTCAGTCCCTGAAGCTGAAGTCGCAGACCAGGGACAGGTGGTCGGAGGGGTAGCTGCGGGAGGGCAGCCGGTCCGGCCCCACCTGCTGCTCGCTGGGCAGCTCCAGCACGCCGTCCACGGCGAGCGCGCGGCGGCTGAACCAGACGTAGTCCAGCGTGCCGCGGCTCTCTCCCGTGGCGCGGATCTTCCAGGACGTGAACTCGGGCTCGCTGAGGCCGTCGCGGCTCAGCTGCTTGCAGGCGGAGTCCAGGCCCAGCGGCGAGGCGGCGAAGCGCCGGTACACGTCCTCCGCCGGCGCCGCGTTGAAGTCGCCGCAGACCAAGATGGCGTCCGGGGGGCGGGGCCGCGCCGCCAGGTGGCGCAGCAGGTCGCAGCCCTGCGCGCTGCGCAGCCACTCCCAGCCCGCGCGCGCCTTCAGGTGCACCGACGCCACGGCCAGGGAGCGCCCGCTGTCACGGCAACGCAGCGTCGTCACCACGGCAACCTGCGGGGAGACGAGGGGGGAAGGGGGCGGTCAGGTACGCTCTGGGTCCCTGTAAGGCCCCCGGAGTCTGGCCAGGCCCCTACCTGACCGGGCCTCCACCTAGTTGGACCCCCACCTGGTCGGACTCCCACCTGTCAGGC